ACTCAGTGTTAATTTCAGCATTTACTAAAATATTAATGAAAACTATTATTGTCTCTGTTGATATTGTTTAATGGACCTGAGCTAATATGAACAGCTGTATTTTTATTAACTAACATTAACAAAGATGAATAATTACTGTAACATGGGCGTATTTAAAGTATGCCAGATTCACTCTGTTATTTTTGTTTAGACAGCAGCAGTAGCAATGACACGCTTCACTTTCCAAACACAGTGTAACAGCGCAGACTAGTGCGTAATACTGGAACTGCGCTTTATTCCCAGAACTCACTGGCAGTGACACACTGATGGGGTTAGTCATTGGTTTTGTGCGGGTCGGTCCTCAGGTGTGTCAGTGAGGGGAAGGAGCTGACACTCTCTCTCTCTCTCTCTCTCTCTCTCTCTGTGTGTGTGTGTGTGTGTGTGTGTGTGTCATCCACTGGTGGCCTTATAAATCACAGTACAGTTAAAACCACTGCAACACACACACACACTGCACATCACTGGCGTCTTTATGAGAGCTCAGAAACACTCACATCTTAACAACTACCCCCACAAACACACCCATAAAACCCAAACCACTCACACAAAAGCATCAATTATTCATCTCTTTTTGAAAGAGTCAAAATTGAGTGAATTAATTACTGAAATGCTGTTTCTTTCTGGGAAGTTCTTCAAGGAAAGTGGTTCTCAACCAGGGTTAATATTGTTAACTAGAGCTAGACTAAAATCATAAAAAAAAGTTTGATGCTTGAAATAAAACAAACTTTAACTGAAAATAAAAGAATACAAATAAATATAAACATGAAATCTACAAATAAATAAATAATTACATAAATAAATGTTTTATTTCTGCTATTTGTCAAGGCAATATTTCTCATTTTAATTTAGTTTAACCTGATGTACCAAAATAACTGAAACTAAAAATCATTTAAAACTATATAGACAATATAAAAATAAAAAATGACAAAATACAACAAAATTGTTAAAACTTTACCTAAATTAAAATGAAAACTGAAAATATTAAAATAAAAACTAATTCGAAATATCAATAAAAGTTATAATAGTACCTCAATGATATAAAATAACGCTGTTCCTAAGTGATTTAAGGAAAAATGAAAACTAATCAGAATTTGAACATGAAACGCAAAGTTTTTCTGGACGAATTATGAATGCTGGCTTGACAAAACCTGACAAAGTTTAAAAAATAAATAAATAAATAAAAAAGTTTTAAAAGCCTTAAAGTTTTAAGATAGATTGATAAATAAATTGTATTTCCTGTTCATGGTATTTAATAAAAAAACATTTGTTGAATTCACTCAAAAAATGTATTAATTATCCTTAATTTAAGTGATTTTAATTTTAACCACAATTTAATTTATTTCATTCAAATTCATTAATTCGTTTAATTTATTTACTTCAAGTCAGTTTCATTAGATTATCATACTTTAGCTGGATTAGGTCATTATTATAAGTGTAAATTAACTTTATTAAGTTTTTCAAACTAAATTTTGTCACTCCAGTTTCACTGAATGCATTTACTAAGGTTTATTTATTTAATTCATTTTATTTTGTTGGTGCTACTTAATTTAATTGATTTATATTATTTAATTAATTATCTAATCGTGTTTATGGTTTAATTAAATTTCTAATGTTGGTCTAACTGAAATTAAAATAACTGTAATGGAATTATGATCTTTTTTTGAAATTATGCTGTATCATTTTTATGAGTCATTTGAAGAAATTGCGCAAGAGAACTCAAATGCAAAACATGGCAACATACAAAACAGATTTGCAAACACAAACATGCGGTTAGTTTCATGTTTCATCATTTGCTTTCATCATTGTTTGTCCCTGCTGTCTGTGACCAATTATAACAGACATGAGATCCATTTATGGGTCAAGACACAACAGAAATATAAGACTAATAACTTATTTTTTGTCACTGAACAGACTGCAGTGCATTTTTGTCTGTCTTTGCCATTTGGTATTTCTAAAACAAAGGTCAAAATGCGTCACGTCAGTCTAGTTTCCCCAACATCCAGGCACGAACCTCAGTGTTTATCATGTTGTTGTGATAATGTTCTGCCAACGCTGATGTCTTAGAGTCTGAATGCATTGCAGTTATTGTGCAATCAGTCAGTCAGTTGAGCAAGAGTCCAGAAAATGTTCAGATGTGAAGACAATAAATTGACTGAAAAATATAATGGCATGAAAGGGTGTCTGTCTCAGGTTTCTGTTTCTTTATTTCTACTTGTCTTTTTAATTAGGTTGGCTTGACAAAGTCAACATGCAGTTACTGTACACACTTGGATTATTTTTTTTTTTTTTTCAATATCCCTTAATAATGTGCAGCTCTTAAAGTATTTTACAAGATACCTTGTTAACTTAAGGCATGACTTTGTCAAGCCAACATTCAAATTTTGTCTTGATGACCTTAACATTTCTAGTTTTATCAGGGCTCAAAATTGAGACTGTTTTGGTTGCATATGCTCCCAAAATTTAATCTGTGTGGCCTCAAAATAATATTTGGGAGCATTTGTGCAAGTGCAAATAATTGTTGTGGGGCAACCTGTTTTCATTTCTCTACGAAACTTTCACCAGTTTCTGCATATGTGCCTGCTGTGAGCTGATACAGTGACCGGTGCACCTCTCTAGCCAGCATTACATAACCAATCAAACTTTATCTTTACATTCTTAACTTTAATGCAGATTTTAGATTGGTTAATATTAGCCAAAACTCAGTAAAATGGTAAAATTGGTAAAAAGACAAAACGCAATATAGCTGCTGTCATCTTGCGAAAATGCTGTCATTTGGAGCCTGTGTCTGCACAGTAGTGATTTATTTGGAGCCCGAGTCTGTGCTATAGTGATTCATTGGACACCAGCGTCTGCGCAGTAGCGATTCATTTGGAGCCTGAGTCTGCAAAGAAGTGATTCATTTGAGCTTGAATCTGCGCAGTAGCGATTTATTTGGAGCTTGAGTCTGCACAGTAGCGATTCATTTGGAGCCTGAGTCTGCACAGTAGCGATTCATTTGGAGCCTGAGTCTGCACAGTAGCGATTCATTTGGAGCCTGAGTCTGCACAGTAGCGATTAATTTGGAGCTTGAGTCTGCACAGTAGCGATTCATTTGGAGCCTGAGTCTGCACAGTAGCGATTAATTTGGAGCTTGAGTCTGCACAGTAGCGATTCATTTGGAGCAAAATGGTAAAATTGGTAAAAAGACAAAACGCAATATAGCTGCTGTCATCTTGCGAAAATGCTGTCATTTGGAGCCTGTGTCTGCACAGTAGTGATTCATTTGACACCCGAGTCTGCACAGTAGTGATTCATTTGATGCCCGAGTCTGCAAAGTAGCGATTCATTTGGAGCCTGAGTCTGCACAGTAGCGACTCATTTGGAGCCTGAGTCTGCACAGTAGCGACTCATTTGGAGCCTGAGTCTGCACAGTAGCGACTCATTTGGAGCCTGAGTCTGCACAGTAGCGACTCATTTGGAGCCTGAGTCTGCACAGTAGCGACTCATTTGGAGCCTGAGTCTGCACAGTAGCGACTCATTTGGAGCCTGAGTCTGCACAGTAGCGATTCATTTGGAGCTTGAGTCTGCAAAGTAGTGATTCATTTGGAGCTTGAGTCTGCGCAGTAGCGATTCATCTGGAGCCCGAGTCTGCGGAGTAGCGATTCATTTGATGCCCGAGTCTGCACAGTAGTGATTCATCAGGAGCCCGAGTCTGCGCAGTAGCGATTCATTTGATGCCCGAGTCTGCGCAGTAGCGATTCATCTGGAGCCCGAGTCTGCGCAGTAGCGATTCATTTGACACCCGAGTCTGCGCAGTAGCGATTCATTTGATGCCCGAGTCTGCGCAGTAGCGATTCATTTGATGCCCGAGTCTGCGCAGTAGCGATTCATTTGACACCCGAGTCTGCACAGTAGCGATTCATTTGATGCCTGAGTCTGCGCAGTAGCGATTCATTTGTTGTCCGAGTCTGCGCAGTAGCGATTCATTTGATGCCCGAGTCTGTGCAGTAGCGATTAATTTGGAGCCCGAGTCTGCGCAGTACAGATTAATTTGATGCCCGAGTCTGCGCAGTAGCGATTCATTTGATGCCCGAGTCTGCGGCTCTCGGTTACACCCTTATTTGTTTACATTCACAGACTTTAAAAGAGGTCTTTGGAGATCCTTTTTCCTGTGCTAAAATGAGATAATAACCCCATGTCGGGAAGCTCTGGGGGTATCATGTAAACTCTGGAATAATATGTTGCAGATCTAACGCAAAGTCTTGGCTCTTTGGGGAGATTTGATGGCTTTTATTATGTCTATGGAGTTTTTAACCTCTATTTTCTTCTTCTTTGTCTTCCCCAGCAGTCACATCCATCCTATTTCCCCATTGTGAAGACTGATCTGAGCTTTTATGAAGTCATGCAGTGTTATGATATTCAAATTATGATGGATTGTTCTACACTGAATGGGGGGAAATAGTTTTTAGAATTTGGCTCTGCAAAGAACAGGCTGCTCCAGCACTTTATTTTAAGTTAAGATAAATATTAACTAATAAAACAAAACTTAAATATTGTCATTATGTATCAATTTAATATATATTTAAATAGGCTACTACACACATTTTACAAACATATTTGTTTTAGAAATCTATAGAATAGGCCTAGTAGACGCTGGGCAAACTGAGCGAGACGCGCCAAGGCAATTTGAGTTGCGCAGAAATTCTATAATTCTTTTAGATTCCACTGAAAGTTATTACGTAATTTAAACCTATAACTAAAACGCCAATCAATGAGAAGCGTCAAGGATTAGGCTACCTCAGTTTCTCAGACACACTGAGGCAGGGCGAGGGCGGAGGAAGAGGGTGGGATCGTTCACAGAGATGAAACTTTACTGACGCTTTTTGGCTTGAATAGTGGAAACATCCCCGCTGTCAAATACAGCAGAGATGGATAAGAGAATGTAATTAGTTTTGAAAACACATTTTCGCTGTTTCCAATAAACTGCGGATGAAAGACAAACATCAGCAGCTGTCCAGTCAGTCGCGTTCACATGGGGTTTGTGTTTGGGGCGTCAGTCTGTATATCATATCGCAGGGATGTCCGCGCAAGGCTTGCTAAACAGCGTCTTCTCATGTTCCTCATCGGGCTCTAAAACCCTCGCAAAGAGGAACCTGCACCAGACTCGCAGTTTGGATTCTGCGCTGATCAGACACTGCGCGACGCCTGGAGACGCCAGCGGTCATCGGTCATTCTGCTGGAGCTCGAGCTCCACAGCTGGATTTACTAACAGCCAAAGCGCCTCAGAAAGCCTCGCTGCCGACCCCAGACTCAAACCGCGTCTTTCTACGTCGAGTTTGTCCGCATCTTCAGACGCTTCGTCGATCTCCAGTCTTCATTTGGACTACAGAAGCGGCAAACGCAACGCGTCCAGGGATTTATCTCTACACCTCTCTGCTTCAAGCAACATCTTCTCACCGAGAAAGTGGCTGCAAAGGAAGTTGCCTCAGTCGGATGCTGTTTCGCACAATATCTGTAAATCTGAGGTAAGATTATATATATATATAAAAAAAATACAGTCGACACTGAAGATTTCAAACTAAAATGAATGTTTTGTTGGCATGGATGCTGTTTGCCGTCACTCTCTTGAACAGGTTTTGAATAGAAGTTTGCAAATGTCAAAGCAAATGATAAATCACGAGGCTTGTCTGGTCAGGCCATCCAGGTTGTTCTGTCTTTTCTCGAGTATGAGTTTTTCATGCATTGTTGATAAATGCGCATAAACATCATGATAGATTAAATATCTATGTTTAAATATGTATGTTTTTTTATTTTAAGATTTCACTGTCTTTTTAAGTTTTTCACGACTTTTAATCAACTGCCTGTTATAGTTCATTTTAAATTGTCATGTGGTGTGACAATTTTTTTCCAGATATGCGAATGTTCAATATAGTCTTGTAATTAATATGAGCTCAAATGTAAACTTCACAGTAATTTTATTACAATTTAAAGAGTGCATATTGGCAGTTTTAACCAAGCAGCTCTTTTATATCTTTAAAGCAAGTAGCATTGGATCTTCATGGACTGAGTCTTGGCAGTATATCATGCCTGATCAGATGCAAAATCATGACAAAGCATGCATCCAAGTTTCAGCATTGAGATTGACACTTTATGGTTCAACATACCATAAATTCTAATTCAAAATATTTGGAATGACTAAGTTGATATTTAGTCATTTATCAAGTGTTTTGTCCTGAGGAACGTCACAATCAATTTATCCTGCAGGAGCCAGCACTACATGCACTACTGCAATGCCAAGTTTCAAAAGTAAGCTTGCATAGAAACTAGAGCTGAAATAAAATGCACAGATAGAGAAAAGCAAGAACAAAAACAATTTATGGAAAATTAAGGGAAAGTTTCTTGAAGGTTGTGACGGTCTCAGCAGATCAAACGGAGGTGTGATGTTTGATCCACCACAGAACAACAGAGACAGTGAAGGTTCTGGAAAGCGACTTTTTTTTGTTGCTTTGATGGAACCACCAAGTGACACTTGCTTACTGACCATATAGAGGATGGGAAGAAATATAGACCTGTAGGAGTGTGTTGAGGTAGGAGTGCGCTGTTCCAGTGACAGCCTGACGTCAAAGCCTTGAATTTAATGCAGTCGGCTGAAGATAACCAGTGGAGTGAGACCAAGATGGCTGCGACATGGACTCTGTTTGGTTGATTGAAGATCAGACACGCAGAGAGTGTGGACAGAAGGATCTAGTGGTTCAGCTCGTCGAAGGCAGGAGACAGCGCTGGTTAGGATGAAGACAGATGACCTAGCGTGACTCTTGCCAGCCTCAGGGTTTCAGCAGCAGACAGCAGGGAAGTCTTCATGGAATGTCCGCTTTCCTCCACTGCAGAATCCAATACAGATATAAAATACTAACCCTAAAGACAACTGAAGATATTGAACTCATACGGTGGTTTAGCTGCTGATCCTGACTTTAATAAATGCATTATCCTTAAACCATTGAACTTTACACTAAATTCCACTGGAAAATGTAGGAAAATGACTAATTCAATGCAGTAAAGTGCACAATGGGATGAGGATAATAGGAGGCCCAAATGGATGTGCATTGTTGCTGTCATTGTCAACTGATTGAATAATTGCATTTGCATGCTTTAATGACAAAATAATGTCCAATTCAGTGAATGGCTTTGACTTTCTAAAGTGCAACCTGTTGTCAAGATGTGTTAAATGTTCCGGGTAAATTAAAGTGGCATTAATCTCACACATGTCTGAAGTGCCAGGAAATACCAAGGTGTTGTGAAAGTGCTTGTTTTTTGAAGTAGCTTTGCAAAGATCAGGAATGTGAACTAATGAAATTGCATTATTAAAGCATCTATGATTAGATACAAATACACCTCTTTATAATTAATGCATGCTTTTTTTTATCAAACTGTGGCCATACTACAATATTGAGAAACCAAAACACCAAATTTGTAGATGATTGTGTTGGCCAGCCCAAAGGGGAGCTCTCTTTGTTACAGTTACCTAACCTCTCAGGAATCTGGAGTTTATAAAGCTCCTCCTGTAAAGCAGTTCAGCTGTCTTTTAGAGCACTGCTCTTTCTATTATTTGGACAATGAAACTGGCAGGCAGCAAAAGGCAGGCTTTTTGTTTTTGCCACATTCAACTCAAATGCATGCTTTTTCTTTTTCTTTTTTGGCAGTAAACCACCTTTTTTTACAGTCTTGATTGGTAGCAGGTTTGAAACCACATTGCAAAATGACAATAAGTCCTAAATATTGGATTTGAAAACCGATAAAGTCTGGAATATGTAGGCAGTAAATTCATATTTTCTCTTATGTGCATTGCAATGTATGCTTTGATTTATCTTAAGCAGCCACAATGGCTCATTTGCACAGACAACAGACATCTTAAAGTAGTAGACTTGCAAGACACAACAGTATTACTTGTGTATCTTTGCTTCCCTTTGGCCTCTTTGCCTGTTGCAGACTGTTTTAGAGAATCTGTTGCAGTAACAAGCTTAACAATGTTTAGCTCTCGAGGCAAAGTGCGCTGATATATCTCACTAAAATACAGCCACATTTATTGGGTCGCTTTTAAATAAATTCCCATTTTTGGTCAAATTGCATTTATCTGTGCTCTTGTGCAATGCTTAAATTTAGACTTGGCTTAAAATAATAGCTGTTGTGTTAAAAAATATTGGGGGGGGCATTTTCTGTTTCTGTAGAATAACGAAACAGGAAAAGAACAATGGAAACGGCATGTTCTTTCACTATTTTCTGTTTTGCTGAATAGCAGAACACTCATATTCATTGAAAACAATTAAACTGAATGAGCTTTTTGTCAGTAGGCCCACATTGTTATTTTATAGTCCCGTATACTTTGTGTCGCAAAAAGCTTGTCTGCAGTAAGTCTTTGTACTGTGCTTGAAGAAACCGTGTAAGAGCGGAGCATAGTTCTTCAGTGAAGTGACATCTGGTTTACATGAAGTCTACCTCAGCTTCTATTTCTCACAGCAGACCAGCATGACCTGATCTTTGGCAGCGCTACCCATGCAAATAGTTCTTCCCACTGGAGACTGTCAACTGAGTACAACAGCACTTTGGGGTCTTTTTAAGGTCTTCTTTCATGTTCAACAGTTTCGTGAATCTTCAAGCTTGCAGTGGTCTTTACCACCGATAAAACGAACATGCACTTTGAGTGCCAATGGAGAGTCTCTTGGGAATGTCTAAAATTAGGCAATATCCGAAGTCAACAAGTTCCTGGCCTTATTTTGCTATTTTTTCCTCCTTGAATATCCTGTTTCCCTTAGAAATACATCATTCTATGGAAGTCAGAGTGTTTTTGTTTTGACAGGTTGCCGTGATTCAACACTATTGAGTGTAGATAGCCAGATCTTTGCAGAATATGTGGTTCGTTCACAGACCAGTGAATGTAGGGCATGTTCATGAAGTCTGACTCACCTTTAGCTGTTTTCAGTTGGAGCAGAGCCAGCGTAAGAGAACGTGAGTGGTTCAATGTTTTCGCTAAAATGGTTTAGATTATTGCATCTCCTCCAGACAAGTACAGTTGCAACATGCGATAAACATCTCCGATCCCCAAAGTCATGTATCTGATCTTCCAGAATGATGAGTGGAAAAAGCTCGTCCTCTGAGGTTGAACCTTTTTAAACTTTATTTTCTAGCTACACTAAAGCAATTGCAACATCAGTATCAGCATAACCTTTAACCTTTTTATATTCTGCCTGCCAATCATCTCAGTGTGTTGCTGTGCACACACACGTATGTGCAGCACATGTTCATGTTCAGGGGCGTACTGCAGATTTGTGGCCCTGTTTACACCTAGTGTTAAAGGAACAGTTCACCCAAAAATGAAAATGTGCTCACCCCCAGGCCATCCAAGATGTGGATGAGTTTTTCTTCATCAGATTTGGAGAAATGTAGCATTTAATCACTTGCTCGCCAATGGATGCTATGCAGTGAATGGGTGCCGTCAGAAGGAGAGTCCAAACAGCTGATAAAAACATCACAATAATCCACAAGTAATCCACTCCAGTCCATCAGTTAACATCTGGAGAAGCCAAAAGGTGCATGTTTGTAAGAAATAAATCCATCAAGACTTTTTTTTTTTATTCAAACCGTTGCATCTGGCTGAAATAAGAGTCCATAATCCATAATAGCGCTTCCTCCAGTGAAAAAGTGTTCTGGTCTGAATCAGGAGAGAAATCTGCACAGATCTAGCACCGTTTACAAGCCAAAACAGTCCAGAACAGCTTTAAACAAATAGGCCTATGTGGGTGGATTTTGATGTGAGAGATAACAGGAGATGAACTTTTTCACTGGATGAAGCGTTATTATGGATTATGAACTCTTTTATTTTCATCTGAAGCAACAGTTTGAAGTTAAAAACATCTTAATGCTGGATTTGTTTCAGCTTTTGTCTTCTCCAGATGTTAACTGATGGTCTGGAGTGCTGTGGAATACTTGTGGATTATTGTGATGTTTTTATCAGCTGTTTGGACTCTCATTCTGACGGCACCCATTCACTGCAGAGCATCCATTGCTGAGACACTGATGCAATGCTACATTTCTCCAAATTTGATGAAGAAACAAACTCATCCTAATCTTGGATGGCCTGAGAATGAGCACATTTTCAGCTAATTTCTATTTTTGGGTGAACTATTCCTTTAAAATGCTTTACCTAAATGGTCAAAGTTTATCTGATTGAGATCCAGTTTACCTCTGCTGGTAGACTTCATAAATACACCATTTTTTTTCTTGATTGTCGGACATTCAAAAGTAGACAAGCTTTCTTATGAAATTAGTAAATGCATACTAATTGAATTTCATTTGATTATAGTAGATGTTTCTGAAATTCCTTTTAGAGGGTAAAGGGGCTTATTTTCCTCTAAAGATGCCTATATGGTTTATGAAAAACAGAGGTATAATTTGAAATAAGAAGTCCAACACTTTTCCTAAGCCAAATGGTCCATATCATGGCTGCGCACATAATAATAATAATAATAAT